GTCATTTTAAGGGGAGTGCCAACAACGGATTTCAAGAATGATCAATATGATCATTTTTAATAAAGGGAATGGTATTTGCATTGAGATGTCACAATATTGACAGATTAAGAACATGGGATTTTAATTTGCCCTTTAGAATGTGGGGTTTATTGTTCTCAACACTCAAAGTAATTGCTTTTAGTGAAAACCTGAAAAGTACTTTTAATGACTAGACAGCAACAATTATATGAGGTTCTTACTAAATTAGTCATCAAAAATAAATAACACTTGCACTTTCTTGTTCTCTTTCTGATGCTTGAAAACTCTTGCTCTGGCAGTCTGTCATCTGGCAGAATTAAGTGTGGGATAATGGTGGTGTTGTGACTAACACACAAAAATATCAGCCACTAGCTAAATAATTGCAGAGCACAGTATTTGAGCAGTTGTGATACATGTACCATAGTTTGTTACACTGAGTGACATGCAGCTTGACATGATGGAATTTTCAAAATGTGGGCATTAGACAAATGCCCACGGTAGAATAGATAATCTCTTTAAACCCATTGTGTGCTCAGTGGAGAACATAATAGACAAACTCTGATCCTCCTGGAGTGCATACAAGCATTTCTGTTGCTGCTGTGGTATTTACACAACACAAATATCTGCATTTGCAGGAGTATAATAAAGACATCACTCATCAACTCAGCTTCTCTGAAGGTGTTAGTCTGCTCTGCATTTTAGTATTGATTTGTGAAAAACAATGAGTGATGAGGCATAAGATGAAAGATAAAGCATAAGAGCATATAATGACATTTTAAAGGTCAGCATTTAATTGAATGTTAGATAAAAGTAGATAGCTCCCTTTCACCTCATGGTGCCTCTTTTTCCACGTTTACTTTGTGTATCTTGAGATTTTAGACTCTGCATAAATAAGACTCTGCACTATTTTCCAACAACTGAGGACCTTTATTTGCAGGACTGATGGTTTTGTGGGTACATGTGAACATTAAAAATGAATGATCTAGTTGAAGTTGTTTGCATAGTCAGTTTTGAGGAGGGTTTTCATTAAAAAAATTGTCTCGGAGAAAATGCTGTGAAACCTAGTCAAGCACGTTGTTCTACAAAGCTTGGATTAGAAAGCAAACATGCCAAAAAGCCCATTTGCAACCAGTTTTGAAAAACTGGCAGAATTCTAAAGACTGAGGCCAGACCTTGGTTTTATTAATTATTCTCTTTAAAATCCTAGTAGAAAAGCAAATGAAAAGGTTTGTCATCAGAGAGTGTTTTTCATTTCATAGATGAAAAGGTAATTCATATCTTGAAATCACCCAGGTGCAGTAGTAATGACTCGCTGTTGCAGCTTGAAGTTGAATACCAGGAAAGTGCAAAATTCATCAGTATTAGACTTTGCTATAAATATGACTTTGTGTCCTCAGCCTGAGCCTTCAGTAACAAAAGCACTGAGATTGCAGATTTATTAGGATCACTGAAATGTGAAAAGGAATACATGCAACTTGTATGTAGTTGCAGCAGCAGTAGTAATGTAATTACAGCCTTAAATGTGTGTGTAGGGATATCCTTGAATTCGTTTTTGTCAGGATCAACAAAGGCTTTTCACAAATGATGGAAATCTGTCTTGGACCCCTGTGCCAGGAGCCTGGGGCAGTGTCCTGTCCCCTCTCACACCTCTGCCCTTGCAGCCAGCTGTTACATTACCTTGTTTGGAGGCTGCTCAGGCTTCATCTTCTAATGAATTCCTCCCCTCCTCCAGCACCCTCAGGGAAGACTGTTCAAGAGTTCTGCTCCTTTGGCTGCTGGAAGCCATTGTTCCTGTTTAAATTTATTTCTAAACTCTGTTTCCCAGTGTGCTGCCCACATGAGTTTGTGGGTTGTTGCTGGCTGGAGTCTTGTGCAGGATTTCATTTTACCTCAATGTTCTTCCTAACATTTACTGTAAATTCCATACTTTGTATGTCTTAATAGGGAATTTGCTGTCTTGTGTTCATCCTGTCACCACCTACAACATCCAACTCTCTTCCTCTTCTGTCCCTTGCTGTTGCTGAGACTCCTCTTAGGGAGGTTATCTGCACTGTATGTCAGAGCCCTAAATACTCAACCTTAAACAATACTTCCAACTTCCTTCCATGATTCTAACTGCAGTCCTCAAGCTCTGCTATTCTCCCTGGGCAAGATTTCTGATTATGATAGCGCTCTATTTTGTGTCACAGGCCCTCACAGTTCACACCTGTTCAAACATGCAATCATCAAACATTCCTGTTGAATATCCACATGTTTGCAAATGGATATTCATAAAAACAGTTACATGTCTGACTCAGGTATTTAATAAATAATCATGAGAGCAACATGAAAATTACATAAAACAGCTTTCAATGAGAGAAAACAACTGAGTAACTACTTCTGTTCTCATTATTATGGTGGTGGGTTTTTTCAGTTTTTGGTGCTTTGTGTCTGAAAATGATAGTTTGTGGTTTGTGATTGAAAGTTTGATAAATCAAGTTTCTTTCTGGTTGAAATTTTGTTCTTAGTCTTTAATAACTGGATAGATTTGGGTTTTTTTTTTCTGAATTCTGTAGAAGCAATAATTCAAAACCTGGGAGATCTGGACTTTGGAGAGAAGAGATTCAATGGGAGTGCACTCTTCCGGCTAGAAAAATGGGCTTTCTGCGAGGAACTTCTCGTCCCAGCCACAAATAAATTTTACTAACCTGAAAAACGCATATACATTGTTTTAAAAAAAAAAATTAGTTTTCTGACAACATATATAGCAGGAGGGGTTTAGGTGAGCACACTTGCACTTAGACCCTGAGCCATCATTCTGTGGATGAATAAAGAGTTGGAGAGGGAATCCCTGTACCAGTGCAGCTGGAAAGAGATCTCTGTTCTATGATCTGCAGTTTTGAAAGTGCCAGATCAGATCAATATAATGATGATTTTTACTTTGGGAAGCTTTCCTGAGACTGTTGTTTATAGGTGTATTATACCAGAGTCATTTTGCTGACCTCTTTGCTTTCAAGGTTTCCATGATGAGGCTGGTAATATTTACACAGCTCAACTTCACAGAAAAATAGTATTAATGTGACTGTCTTTAAATGATTAACCATTCTGCCCTGTCCCAACATTTTATATTCCATATTTTACAGAAGAAAGAAACCCTATCCTGGAAATGTGGGATTGTCAAAGATTTCCAAGTTATCTGTTCACCTAGGAAGAAATGGTGCTCTGCTATCCCGAATCCAGTTTTATGATCACTGGGGGAAAAAATTTGTAACTAATTTATTAAAACCTAAGAATGACAATAGTCTTTTTTTTTTTTTTTTTAAATAGTAACCTAAGTATAGTGTAGCTTTAAAAGAAAGTGACTTTTTTTTCTATAAGCTGAATCAAGACTATTTATTATCTGCCTGAGGGCCCTGGTCAGTGTAATCCTCAGAAGCTGAAGTTACTCTGTTTTAATAACCTTTCTGTTACTGGTCCTCTAATAAGTGTCTGTATGTGTTTCAATTCAAGTGAGTTTGCGATTTTTTTTTTTTTTTATTGCAGGGATATCCACCCACAACAAAATCTTATTTTGCTTCCACACTGCAAATTTTTCAAATAACTTTTGTCTAGTAACAGCCTTTGGATACTGTGGAATTCTTACCATGTCTAATTCCAGGTTTGAAACTGAGACTTCACAACACTGGTAGTCTTTGCCTGAAAATAAGATGTTCCTTTTCCCACTTCACCAGTGTAGCGCCACGCTCATCTTCACCCCAAAAATTGATGGCCTGTTTTCTTGGGGAAGTTTAGGTGTCTTTTTTACCACCAGCATATTATTTCTGCCACCTTGTGCACCAGCTTGGGGTTCTTTATTTCTTACAGTGTTACCTCACAGTTCTTTCCCAAATGGTACACATGCATGCAGGTAGATTTATTCAGTTTAATATATTTAATATAATTACCATTCTATGGACCCAGAAATAAAATGACAGAACCCTAAGGTGCCCCCCACAATAGATCTTCTTTGTATATAACTTGACAGTAAAAATATGAAGGTGAGAATATAAAGCAATTTCGGATTAAAAAATTATATTTGACTTTTTTAATAATTGGGTAACAGTAATGACTGGGTTTCTTTCTGCCTGTCTTTTGGTAAGGTTATCTGATAGTCCTGCCCTTGGCATGTTTCTCTTGGCACGTCAGACTTTTGGGGTGCTAAGAACGCCTGGATCTTCTAGATCTCAAGCTGATAGCAGATCATTCAGTAGTAGATCTCTCACTACTTAAGTAGAATTTGGTTCTATGTATTTTTGGTTCTTAAAAATGTGAAGTTACTTGATAAAGGAAAATTTCTTCAGTGCCCTGTTGCATTGGCAGAACCAATATTATGCTTTAAATAGTTCGTAATCCTGAAAGTTTTTGTATGCTTTATTGTGCAGTGTTTTTTTAATGTAAGTAAACTTGCTTTTAATGTTTTATTTATTGTCCTTTATAAAGTCATGGTCACTGTGATTTTCTTGGTATATTATTTATGATAAAATGCCAGAATTCTGCATAACCCTCCTTTCTTTTAAAAATATTTTTTGATAAGTGGGAAGGAGTAAATAAATCTGAAGACCTTGATTGTATAGTAAATTGCTCTTGCATAAATTAAACAGACTCACAGGATTAAATGGCACTTTAGGTGACTAGGAGGAACAGACAGTGGCATATGAAATAATGCCATGTATACAAATAGCAAATTAGGGCCACTTAATTTTTCCTGTAGTGTAGGAACTTGTGCTGCTTGATGGAATTGATAAGTGACACATTCAAAATCCCTTTTTGCCATGTAAGGGTTTCTCATAAGACATGTAAGTCATTTAAGTTTCTAGCAGCAACAACACGATATTGAAACACAAAGTTTGGTAGCTGCTGGAAGGGGGCTGGTTTTTGTTTGTCAGACATTATCTTAGTTCGACACGAGTAGCAAAGTTACCGACCACAAAGGAAAATAACCCATTTCTGCATTTTTTCTGCAGACATCTGAAGAGCTGGAAGATGTCTCTGACCTGGAAGAAGACCACGATGCACGTAGTCGTACCAGCATCCAGACTGAAGGGAAGACTGACAGGGTACGTATCACACCAGCTGATGCTCAAAGCGCTGGGACCAGGGAAAAATGCTACTGTGTTACTGTTCCTGTGAAGCCACTTAAAGTCATCCAGTGAATCATTAAAATCTTTTTCAGCTCTTAATAGATTTCTGAAAGTGTGTGGAGGACATAAAGCTGATGTGTATGACCTGAAACAGAAAGAGACTGCAATTAAGTTGGAAATACTTTGTGAACGTACAATGAAACCGAAAGTTACTGAATAAAATTCCAGCAGGTTACAGTTTCATAAATGTGGCTTGGTCTAATAGAGGCTGAATTAATAAGGAATGGTTTTTACAAGGGTCTTACTGAAGCCTGCAGTGTGTGTTAACCAAAAATAAGCTCTGCATATGAGAGACTTCACATGCATGGAAGAGAAAGGGATATATCTGGAATCTGAGCCACTGCAGTATGTGAGTTACAGACATTTCCTGCTGTGTTCATGTGTGCACCTCTTCTGTAGTTTATTGCTTAACTAGGGAATTCATGAGGAGGTATGAAGAACTTCCTACAGCATTGGACAATGTCTGTATTTCTAGAGGTTCAGAATCTGGCATTCCTGTTGTAGCATCATTTAACCTCAGGACTCGACTGCATTGCTGGGTTTTGTTTATTGTTTATGCTAAAACATTTTGAAGAGCTTGAGAACATTTTTGAGACAGCTATAGTTTTCTTAGTACAAAGTCAAAGTATTCAGCAAACATTCGTCTTCTTTATGTTTCCATTTTAAATAATGTTTCAGCAAAACTGTTCTCTATTCACAGCTTTCTGACATGGAAAGATCCATGGGGCCAGAAGTGTCTACTTCATTACTTGTTTGCTCAATACCTAGAGCAGTAATGGATCTCTCACTCTTGATTGATTCTAGCATTACTCCTGTAATGGAAATTATAAATATAGAACTAGTTGGGAAAAAGGCAAACTTTTCCGCATGAAAAGAATTATGTCAAAAAATGGTGTTTTAATTCATGTCTGCTTTTCAGCGAACGCATTTTTTTATTCAACAAATATTTTCTTTATTAACACCCTAAATACTAATGAAAAAACACTAACCAAAATTAATGCAGTTCACTTGTGTTGCATATGTGCATATCATTTTTAAATTAACTGTCAGTTAATTCTTGAAACATTGTGAGAAGTGTAATAACTGTGTGAAAGACCACCTCATACAGTCTTATTTTTCAATAAACTTAACTGGCAATTAAATTATACTAGCTGCCCTTTGCAATTTAAATCAGTCTTTGTAAATGTTAGCACATTTTCCTCAAATTAAAGGCTAAAATTTGTATTGTAGTTAAGAAAGGCAGGGTTTTCCATCAAAATGTCATCCATACAGAACGTCATGAATTTTTTTGGAACAGGTACAGAGGGTGTGCTTGCATATTTTCATAAATATCCCATAATGAATGCAGTTGAAGGTTTTCTCTCACTGGGAAAGCAGAAGTAGTAGTTTGTAGATATTTACTATCAAAATGTAGTAACAAGAGATCCACTAAAACTTTAAGGATCACATTTTCATGCTTGGTCTTCTACTTCTCAAATAAAACAGAGTAGTTTTTCAAAGGGAATGCTTTTTGTGAAAAGAAAGCCATAAATAACACATTCCAGACAACTGCACAAAGTGCTGAAGACAGTTGGAGGTAGGGAGGCGGCTGTCCAGAACCAGAGCCATGGCAGAGTTACTGCTGTGGAGAGATATCTCTGGGATGTGCTTTTCCTTGTGCTGCCATGGGGTATTTATTTGGTCTGCAGTGTCAGTGAATTTGATGGGGAGGTGGAAGGGACTGTTACAGATAAACTATGGTTAATATAACTGAAAAGAACCTTTATTATAACATTATAGTATGTACTATTTTTTCTTCCATTTCTCCCTAAAGTAATACAATTGCTGTGAGTGTTCTTTTTTTGTGGGATCTAGATAGCAGTCATGACTTAAAGCCTGATTCTGTATCTTGGAAAAAGTTTTCCTAAATTTCCAAGCTATCAGGGCCATAAATGGCACATTACCTCCCAGGGTAATAGAAAACTATAGCTTTGGCTAAATTACATACATACCCACTCAGCCTAAATCAACATATTGACAGAAACCTGCATACACTTTTTTTTTTGACAGATGTTTGAACAAATCCTTTTGCTGCTGCAGCAAATAAGAACAATGATTTAAGGCCTCTTTATTTGGACTCCTATTTGATATTGATATTTGAAGATTTATACCTAGAACTTGTTTAGCAATATGAAGAGTCTGTATAGAGAAGATAGATTTTGAGGTTTAGACAGAGTTTGTGCCATTTTGTGTTCTGCAGCAGATTTCTGTGCTGTTGGGAAGCTGTTCCATGCAGGGCTGACACCAGGAATGACTGTGTTCCAGAAGTGGTTTGGCAGGATCTCAGAGTAACCTTTTTTCCTCCTTGAGTTCTTTCTCTTGGGCATTTCAACTATAATAATTCAATTTTATTTATACATATCTGGCTCCATACTAGTTCTGCATAACAGCACTCTTGATTCCTCTTGCTTTGTCAAGAAGGTTGTAATTTCTTCTGTGTCACATCTCTCACTGCTCCAACAGGGAACTAGTGCCTTTTTTCTTTCTGTTTTTATCACAACATATAAAACCAGATGTGATGTGTGTATGCCAATTGTAACAAAGGCTACATCTTAACTAGCAAATCTCATTTCCCTTATGCAGGAAACAGTCATGTATTATTAATCACACCTTCTTCAGAATCTATGTCTATAAAGAGAGAGTATAGGTTAGTGGTGAGATAGCAGGACTGAGATTTGACCTTGTATTTATGTACCTGACTCATCTTGAAAATGTTACTTCCTTGATCTCTTCCCTCAGATAATTCCATTTTTCTGAGATGAATATGATAGTGCCTGTGGCACCAGCTCACTCTGTGGGATACAAGTTAACTTGGGCAAAGTGCTGTGAGATCTCTCAGTGTTTAACTGCGTAGAAATACTCACTGTTATTTGTAGGGTGATTTTATATCCTTGAGGAAGATCCTTAGGATCAAATCCTTAGCTACTATAAAAACAGGTACTGCTTATGGATCCAAGGGCTAATGCAGTTTTTCTCAGCTGAAAGTTAGACCTCCCTCTGGTTGTTGTGTCTAATTTGTGTAGTCAGCTCTGCAGGCTTATCACACACTAATTTTGCCTGAGGAAATTCATGCCATCATGATCAGAGTAATTCCACTGAGGTAGTTACTGTCTTATTATCATATGATTTTTGTGTTGAAGAGAAGGTCAAGTCAGAATTTGCCCCATTTATTTTCAGGCTTAGAAGACAATGTACATGTTAATGATCAGAGAAAAAATATTCTAAGTGTTTAAAGTTACTAAATCAGTGAAGAGAACATCTTAGCTTCATTTCAGAGTTACTGCTGGAGGATGAGGTGATCATATTGAAAAGGAGACAAAATGTTTTACCTCATAACATAATCCACTTAGGGATGAGAAGAGCAGAACTGCTTTCAGGCAACCACCCACCCACATTGTTTTTTTCAGAGTTCTGCAGACAGTTTTGTTGAATGCACTGACAAAAACATCTGAGAGTAGGATCATGTTTTGTACAGGTTTGTTCCATACTATATTTGTGCAACAATTCTGGGCTGATAAAAAAATTGCCTCAGTGTGTATTGTAAGTGAGAAAATCCAGGCTGAATTATTTCACTGTTTTGTTTGCATCACATCTTAAATACAGCGATCAATTATATATGTCTAAAAATATACCCAACTCTAAGAAGAGAGAAGATATATAAAACTGTTGATACTTACATAAAAAATAGTTAGAGGGAAAGTTAAGTTTGCCATCAAATGAATTAACTATTCTTATTCAAGTAGCAAATACTTTACATCTAAGTTCCTGCATTAGTAGAAATACTGGTACACATTAACGGGAAGCATGTGCTATTTTGTAAATAGAAAAGCCAATTTTATAATATTTAATTGGCTTAATTTTTATCAAAACCACTCACAAGCATGAAATACTGATAATAAGAATTCAAACATAATGAAAATTACTGTAATTTTGAGTAGGTTCTATGAGTAGTAATTTTGGCATTTCATACATAGCAAAAGTAATCATGATCTATCAAAAGCATTTAATTTTCTTGCCAATTTTTAACCCAATTTCAGTAAAGGGGAGAGATTAAGTTAAGGTCTCAAGGTTGTAGGAGTATATTATATACTATTATGAAGTTTTTTTCTTTATGCCTCATATGTGGCAATGAGTCACATTAGTACTAGTCTTATCTGCAATGGACACAGATATGTGACATTTCTTTTCTGCATGTATAATTTTTTTTTGTACTTGTACATCCTTTTCGTATGTCCTCTCTCTTTTGTAAACTCCAGGTTAAATAACTCCAATAACCTTATCCTTTAAGATAGTGGTTTCTCTGTGTCCTTTTGGTCTGTTTTTTCTTTCCTCTGGATGCTCTGCAGCTTGTTAATAACTTCTTAAATTTGGTGTCCAGACTATTTATATTGCTAAACTCATTCAGCCAGCTGTGGTCTCAGCAACAAGCACTAGTGTAAGGTTTACACTGTTTTCTCCTGCAGGAAAGTTTTGGATGAGGTTTGCCTTCTTACCAACTACAAATCCCCACCCACAGAACTGCCAATAACTGTGTTTGTCTCAGGGCTGTGCGTTTTGGCAACTTTCTTAGGTGTGAAGCCTCATGCTTTTCTCAGCTGAAATACATCCCATGATTTTTTTCAGGTCAGTTCTCAAGTTTCTCAAGACTGCTTTGAATTGTAAACCAGGCCTCTTCCCCTGCAAAGGTGTGGTGTATATTCTGGGTTGTGTCATCCACACCATTAGTGAAAATACTGACTAATGCCAGAGTCAGGGCATTCCCTTCAGGACTTTGCCCTCTGGTTTGGTGTCTGTTCTTCATAAGTATTCTGTGAGCAATTTTCTAACCAGTATCATGTCCAACCAATGGCAACTACATCTAGATCGTATTTCCCTAGATTATTTATAGGGATGACATGAGAACTGGTGGCAAAACTCTAGTGAAGTCCAGATTTATGGCATGTTGTTTTTTCATGTGTAGTCCTATAGACCTGGGACAAAGAGAAATTAGGTTAATATGACACAGTTGCATCATCTTAATCCACCTTTTTAGCAGAGGCTGATACAAAAATGGTATTAAATGTTTTTTCTGTTATCTCCCTATCAATTTATCCAATTATATTCTGCCTAAATATAGAGGGGAACTGTCACGGCAGCACAAATGAGGCATTCTCTGAACTTGTTCAAAGAATGCTGGACTTCAGCAGGCTTGCTACAAGTCTTAAAACTGGGAGAAGACAACTGGGGACAGCAGGTAGAAAACTTATCAAAATAAACACAGCTTCTCCCTGCTGTCAGTGTCACACACCCACAGAGTTCATCTTCTGGGACATGTGTTCACCTTGCTATGAATTGCTGAATATCCACCATTCTCTTTTTCACTTCTTTATCCAAACTCAAAAAAAATATTCCATCAGGAGAAAAAGTAGGGTTCCTTAGATTAGTTTTGGTCTCATGCTCACCTTCCTGATAAAATGGAATCATCGAATCACAGAATGCTTTGGATTGGAAGGGACCTTAAAGATCATCTAGTTCCAAACCCTGCCACGGGCAGGGATGCCAAGTTTGTTCAAGAAAAAAAGCAATTAAAAGTCGTGACTGGAACTGTTTTGCAACAGTTTGATTGAAATATGTTGCTGTCCTTTGAGTGGATCCTGTTCACTTCCACCAGATGTTCAGCTGGCTGCAGCAGGAGAGTGGGGACAGAGGTGAGGTGGCTCCTTGTGGCTGCTGAGTCTGTGGTGGAAGGAAAAGCTTAGCTCTCAAATAAGGCAAGGCAGGGACATGAATCAGGTCTTTTGGGATCTCTGCCGTTATCTTATAACCACACTATGTGAAAAGCAGGTTATTTTGTGTTTTTTGCTTCTACGAGCTCTGAAGAGTTTTTCACATGCTCAGTCAGGAGAGTGGAGTTTGTTTCTCTGCAACCTACAAAATTGCAGAAAAACAGAGTTTTCCTCTTTTCTTCTCTATAGTTACATGACATATTGCAGCCTACAAAGCAGGAAGTGTTAAATAATTTTCAAAGAGAGGTTCTTTGCTCTTGCTTTAATGTATTGTGCTGCTTTTGGTTGCTTTTCTTTCCTTCCTGGTTCCTGTAAGTGGTAAGAATTTTGGTGGCATGGATCTGGCCAGGCATTTGGTTTTAGGGGTCAGGAAAGAAAAAAAAAAAAGGCATGTCAATCTGAGACTTAGGGACAATAATCTTAAATTTATATAAAAGTCACATCCTTAGAGGGAAGCCAGGGACAAAGGTAGGCAAAAGGCCACTTCTTTGGGTTGGGATCTTACTGGCAAGCAATGCACCAGTGAGAGGAGAGTCAAAATCTTCACCAAGAAGTTACTCCACATGTGTCCTTAAATGGCCTTAAAAGTTCAGTTTCTCTGATGGAGAATTGACTGAAACTTGAAAGGGGCTGGAATGAAAAGAAACACCAATCTCACAGGGTAAGTCAAGTTGCAAATGGGAGAATGCAAATAACATAAGCCCAGTGCTGGAGAATCCAGCTAAAATAAATAGCCTTCTGAGGAGTTAATTCAGGGAAATTAAAGACAAAAATCTATACCTTTTTTTTAATAGAAGAAAGAAAATATCAAAAATATAACTGCTCCTCTCACCTAGTCTTAATTCTGTTATCTGCTACTGCAATAAAAACATTTTTGTCTTGGAAGTAATGAAAAAGTCATTTTCTCCTGGTGGACAAAATAAACCTCTAGTCATGTAATAGCAGTCATTCAATTTAGATCTTTATTTCACAATTACCATTATGTTGCCTATTTTGATACAAAATCAAATCTGTGCTTAAAAGGGTGTGTATCCAATTGTTTTATTTTGTTGCTGTGCATGGTTTTAAAGCATTATGAGGGAAAGGAGAGAAAAGGCAAGGTCAGAATTATAGTCTCCTTTGCCCCTTTGTTCCAGTGGATAATGTGTCTCATTCCACCTGAAGCTCATTATTGTTGGCAGATAGCAGGATACTGTATGTCACAGCTCCCTCATTAAAATGTCATCTTTCTCGTGGTTTCAAGATCCAGGCCTGTGATCTTGAACTCAAACCAGTACAGAAGCTGGGGTCTGGGAAATACTGTAGACATCCACCAATCAGCAAACATGCAGCAGAGCATAAAAAGGTCTCTTCCCTCTGTAGCCCAGCTCTTTATTTTTATGTTTCATACCTTTGCCACTGGTGTGGTTTAACGCCAGCTGGCAACTCAGCCCCACACAGCTGCTTGCTCACCCCCCCCACCTTGGTAAGGGGCAGGGAATAGGAAGAGTAACAGTGGGAATACTTGAGATAAAGTCAGTTAAGTAGGTAAAGCAAAAGCTGTGCATATAAGCAAGGCAAAACAAGGAATTCATTCCCCACTTCCCCTGAGCAGGCAGGTGTTCACCCATCCCCAGGACAGCAGGGCTCCATCATGTGCAGTGGTGACTTGGGAAGGCAAATACCTCTGAATGTCCCCTTCCTTGTTCTTCCCCCAGCTTTATGTGCTGGGATATCCCTTGGGTCAGTTGGGATCAGCTGTCCCAGCTGTGTCCCTTCCCAGCTCCTTGTGTTCCCACAGCCTCCTTGCTGGTGGAGTGAGGTGAGGGGTGGGTGAGGCCTTGGCTCTGTGTGAGCTCTGCTCAGCAATAACGAAAACATAGTTGTTTTACCAACGTGTTCTGGCACAAATCGAAAACAGCCCGTGCTAACTACCCCAGCCAAAAACCAGCACACCCAGCAAGCTTATCCTACAACCATGAGGAAAGTGTGTCTTGGTCTTCTCTGGTCTATTTAGTTTTGTGGGGTTTTTTAACAAAACAAGAGAAGTAGTCCTCAAAACAGTTTCACTTTCTAAGTCTCTGACTGTAGGATAATTCTGACCACTGTATGGTGGTTCCTTCCACCCTTAACCATTCTGTGATTCTCTGGTTCTGTGACTGCAAATTATAACATAGTTACATGTTGGGAAACCTGTAATTTCCAGTAATTTGTATAAAAGAGAAAATTAACCCTCTGCCAGAGTGATTCTAGCATAAATAAGATCTCTGAAAAGACATGGCTTGAAAAACATATGCATTACCTATAAGACTGATTGCCTGTTATGTTAATTATAAGTAATTCAGCCACTGCCTTAACTTTCTATTTTATTGATGGTAGATAATGTTTTATAAACAAGAATAAGTCACAAAATATTTACTGTTTAATTGCAGAGTAATTTCAGTGTGTTAATAGTTGCTGCATGTAGTTGTGAGTTCCTGGTGGCCTGAAGGGGACTGCTTTCCAGGGAAGGTGCTGGATAAGAACCACAGTGGCAGTAGAGCCGTCAAGAGCACCAAGCCCAAAGGTCTCCCTGCTTTCTGGGGTAGGAGGTATTATGAAGGGCCAGGACTTCCATGTGACCACATAATATCTTGGCCCCTGTCTGCCTCCTGACCTGTTCCTGACACAGAAGGTTTATCTGCCCCTTGTCTGGAGAAGGCTGATGATCTTGGTCATGAAGAAGAACGTTAAGTAAAATATTTCTCTTGCCATTTTCAGGAGTTTCTGGTAACCTTATTCACATACTGATTTCTGACATGCTCATCTGTTTATCTTCTGCAAAGACAGAATATCCGTATTTGAATAATTAAGTCTTTTTTGGCTCTTCAAATGGTAGTGTAGAACCTTCTCAGGAGAGAGAACATGCATACCTGAAATTTCTAGGACAATTAACCCTTTTCATTGATTATTTCCTACCCGAATCAATACTGCATTTTGTAACTTGCACATATATCATACTTAAAAACACTTAGGCTCCTTAACCCTAAAAAATAGGAGCAACTGTTAGTCATATTTCATAAAGGCTCTGTGGAAGAATGTATTCTTCTTTCTCTCACTATGTTAATATTAATGGTTTCACAAACACCACTGACCCCATCACACTGAGATAATTTATTTGGCGCAACCAGATGATAGCATACAGATTTTGAAATATAGAAGTGCTCAAAGTTGAACAGTTGGCCCAGGCCACAGTGGTTTTAAACTATATATTTAATAATATACAGCGGTTTCATTTTAAAAAAGAAAAATACTCTGACGTAGATGTTTTACAAATCAATTTATTCTGTGTTTTAGGCCAAGATGACTCAACTACCAGAGGCTGAAAAGGAAAAGATAGCTGAGCAAGTGGCTGACTTCAAAAAAGTCAAGAGTAAGCTTGATGCAGAGATTGAAATGTGGGATGATACCAGCAATGACATAATTGTTCTGGCCAAGCGGATGTGTGTGATTATGATGGAGATGACTGACTTCACAAGGTAATTATGCAAAAAAAGAGTCTTCAATATTTATAAATGTTGGAGGCCACTGTCATGTTGTTCAGGCAGCAAATACTGAGTTTTTAATATCAGGTGACAACATCTTTACAAAATTGAGTGAATAAGCTAATGTAACACACTACGGAGTGGTACTGAAGTGTGGGGAGATCTGAATTTTTGAACTGTGCTTGTCCTTATTTTTTTTTGTTCGTCCTCTTTTATTAATTTGGTTGGTAGGGTTTTTGCACATCTTTTAGCACTCTGATTTCTACTCTCACTGAAAGGGAAAAAACTCCCAAAATAATCTTGATTTTAGGCAGTAGTTTTGTCTCATCTGTTTGCTTTCTACTTGTATCAGACCATGCTGTCAATCATGAAAAACACTATACAGAGCCTACCCGTGGCAGTGCACTTTCATACTCATGCATATTTTATATCACATTACCTGCTCTTGCTTTCATCAGAACTCTATCATGTTGCTATATGTAGTTTTGAAGAATGAAGTGTCCTGTAGCAAATAGCTGTCAAAGCTGGCAGTTTTTTCTGCTGCCAGTATATGTTCTATGATGCTCGTTTAGCCGGAAACAATCTTAAATTCAGGAGCTTTCTCTGCCATGCACTGAATTAAATGTTCAGTAAATTTCATCAATGTAATTATGCCAAAGGAAGATGGTGATGGTGTTGTCTGCCCTCCTTACCCCCTCCCTGGTCTGGTTAGAAGTAAAATAGTCACTGACAGGTGAAGCCTTAAAACACAACCACTCCTGCAAAACACTTAATGTCTCATAAAATAAGTCCATTCATGCAAGGTATGAAGAAAAATCTCAGCCTCTTAGACAAATTCCTCAGGTGTGTAAATGAGCAGCATTGCATAGAGCTGGACCAGGTAACAAAGCTGGGCTCTGCTCTAGGCTTGTTCTGGGGAAGACAGCTGTTGCATTTTATCTCACTGGCACCTTCCAAATTCACCTTCGTGTGAGAGAGATTTAAAGATCTGCATGGGGGACTCTGCAACCTTGTTCTTTTTAAGAGTATATGATTTGTATGGAGACCTTTGAAAAAGAACGTTCTATACCATAAAGTCAATCTTTACAATTAAAGTCACCTCTCTCGCCAAAATTCTTTATATTACCAGCTTTAGATAATCAAAATTAAAAAGGCGAGCTCAAAGTCTTAATTTTATACATATGGCTCTCAGTTGAACATGGCATAATCTGCAGTTTTGAGTCAAAGAGAAGCTCTTTATGAAGTGCTGCTGATATCCAGAGAGTCCATGGAGAACTCTGAAATTACTCTGGTACAATAACTTACTTGAAGGTAAAGTTAAAATGTTTTGTGGAGACAGAGTGAAAATCCTAGTCTGCACTTCAGAGTGTGGTAGGGAATATGGTACATTGTTGGAAGATGGAGTCTGATTATTCTCTTCCAAATTTTAGGGATTGTATTAATCTTTTTATTTCACAGATGTTTAGATTACAACTTGAGGTGTGCAAGTACATACAAGTATATATTCCTATGTTATGTGTTTAATACTCAAGTTGTTATTTCTTGGGGGGAGGACTATCCTACCAAGTGTTTTGTTCAGTGTCTAGGGCCCTTGGTAACAGAAATCAAGTCACCCTGTAATACAGAAATGGTCTTACGAGATACTTTCTATCTTACCTAACTTTGTCTCACACCTTTATAAAGCTGGTTTTGAACATGTCCTTTAGTAATATGGTTTCAAGTTTTGTGTCTTCTTCAATGCCAGATGAAGTCTTGTGAAATGAAGATCTGTATCTATCTGAGCAATAGGTGAGCTCCTCTGGCTCTTCCTCTTGTTTACCAAAGGTGGCAGTTAAGTGCCAGCTGGCTTTTTCAATTCCTGCTCTGTAGAAATCTGGAAATAGAATCATAGGATTGTTTAAGCTGGAAAAGTCCCTTAAGATCATCGAGTCCAACCATTAACCCAGCACTGCCTTGTTGATAGTTAAACCATGTTCTCAAGTGCCACATCCACGTGTTTTTTGAACACTTCCAGGGATAGGGATTCCCCCACTTCCCTGGGCAACCTGTTCCAGTGCTGGACCACCCTTTCAGAGGAGAAATTTTTTCCTAATATCTAAAATAAACCTTCTCTGGTGAAACTTGGGGCCCTTTCCTCTCGTCCTATCGCTTGTAACCTGGAAGAAGAGACCAACCCCGCCTGGCTACATCCTCCTGTCAAGGAGTTGTAGCGAGTGAGAAGATCCCCCCTGAGCCTCCTTTTCTACAGGCTGAACGTCCCCAGCTCCGTTCTCTTCTCTGGACACACAAAAGATGTGCAGCAAGTACATGTACAGAAAGCACCAGCTCCCCTTAGGGTTTGAGCTCTCCAATCTGTAACTCCAAGTTCTTGCACATGGAAGAAATAAAAGATTCTGACATTTTGTATTTGTAACATCAGAAACTACTCAGACAAATAGTAAATTTCTGTATTTGAGTCACTTGTTACGTAAGCTGATTTCTGTTTTTCTTCAAATGGTATTACCATGCATTCATTGTTATTTAATCTCAATGAGAGCTTTTCAAAGTTTTAGTTTTTCAAGGTCACCTTTTGCATTTGTGTATTACCTTGACCATTTATGCAACAGTAATATTTTCAACTAAAACCAGGTTAATGTTGGTATCAAAATAACTCGTTATTCAGACAGAAGGTAATTGGGAATGATGTTGGCATAAATTGTTGGTGTGTATAGCTTGGATCATTAACAAAAATAATTCAGTGAAGGCCAGTGATAATCAGTGATTACTCAGTGGAAGTTAGGACTGCTGTAAATTGTAACCATCTGAAATAGCTCATTATGGTGTAACTTCCTTATTTGATTATATGGCAGATGCCTCTGATTTTTTTGAGTCTTGGCAGAAGAGACCTGCAGAACCACATTTGAAACAATTGTTGTCCTACTGAACAGTCCTGAGCATGTCCTCTGCAAACAGACACTAGAGCAGACAACTGTAATTATATGTAATACATATTTTTCCAGCTTTTTTTTTAAACTTTGTATGTGATACATGACATAAGCTTACTGAAACTTGATGATGATGGACTTTGCTGTGGTGAACTATCCATTCACCACAATGACTGTACATCATTGTCATCGTAAGCTTACGCTTGACAGATGGAAAAGGAATTTACAAGAGTAGAAAGGCATTTTTGGAAGTTTGTAGCAGCTGGCAGCAGCTGCTCATCGGTAGCATGAACATGATAATGAGGCCTGATTATGGAAAACTGGTTATATTGATTACTGGAATCTATTAATCTGTTAAAACTTCTGTAAAAACCACATTATATTTGCAGTAATATTGGCCCTGACGGCAGTGGACACCAGGCATTTGCTCTGCTGAAAGTGTGGCTCTCTATTCCCTTTAGACTCCAGCACACTTGCTTGTTGGGGATAACACACAAAGTTCCTGCCAATTTAATTCTCTTGCTGAAGGTTATTGCTGCTAGAAATAAGAGAGTTTGGTAGAGGTTTCTTTCCTGAATTTTACTTTTCTGAAAATGAACTGGATTGTAGTTTTAGTTTCTTTAGGAGGGCTACAGTGAATGAGGCAAAATGTTCCTGTGTTGCCACGGCTTTAACAGCAAAGGCATTCAGCAAAACTGAGAAACAAATGAGCTATCAGTGGGTCTGATTATGTTTTCTATCCTCAACCTGGAGCTGCAGCCACATCCCTGTCCTTCTCACAGAATTCCATCTCAGCTTGGCTCTGCTGGCTCCCCCATGGCTGACCAGAAACCTGTACTTCTACCACTGGCCTTGTGCCAACATGAGCAAAGCCTGGGAGATAGTTCCTGTGTGATTGTCACTTCTCATCTTCCTCTGAATGTGCAGAAGTGCTTTGTCACTTCTCTGTTCAGAGGAGGTGGGTGCTTCCAGGACACCTTACTGGGTCAGGATCTATCCAAAGTGCTTGGCTGCACCTCCTCCGAGTCTGCCCACTGTGCAGAACTGTACACAACAGGGTTTGTTTGGTTTTCTGATACCTTGAAGATTCACTCAGGATAGCAGGACATTTGTTTTCTTTGGCTGGAAGGGCTTTAGGCTTACTTTTCAACTTCAAGACTATTAGGCTAAAAATTATCAGGAAGGGGAGATGCTTCCTTCTTTCCACGAAGCCATCATGTCTGTAGCCCTCACACCATATACTGTCTAGCCCAGCAAGGAGTGGGTGGAGGTGATAGATATGGATGTACATCTCTATCCAGAACTCCGTCTTGGCCCAGACTCTGTCAGCGTTGTGAATGTTGGTCTGTGTTATGGAGCAGGGAAACAGGATTTCAGTTCTTGGTTCAGCTCTTGAAAGGCTTTCAGTTTCCTGGGCAAGAATGAGCTAATGAGGATTGCTTTGTCCATAGTTTTTCCTGTTGGCCATCTTAAATGACTTCATGATGAGTGTTTAGTGTAGGTCCCATTTTGGATTACTGAACTCTCAGGGTCAGGGTCTCCCTGGCAGTGCAGTGTGTGCAATGTGATGGTTGCTGCAGATTATTTCAGTGCTATGAGATTCACTTGCTTGCACCTAAAGTACCAAGTACCTTTGTAATCTGAGGCATCCAACATCTGAAATGTTTTAGCTGTACAAGGACCATTACACACTTGAAAACTCAGTACAAAAATTACACCTACTGGTTTCAAAATGGAAGTTCCTTCTGATTTTGAGCTTCCACTTATTCCAGTGACATATGGGAACATACTAATTTTAAGGAATAGCTTCTATCTTGGCAATATGAGTTTTCTTCCTTTAAACTGAGCTTTTAAGCAAACATAATTCCTAGTAATAATCTGTATAAATGTAGTGCAGTCAGTTAATTTAATTCATTGCTTAGACTTCAGCATATGTGACACTGTGACATTGAATGAGAGATTGGAAAAGTACTGGCATTTGATCAAGAAGACTCCACTGGTGTTTTTCAACATACAGCAGGCAGAATTACCTGTAAAAGGAAGAGGGGGTGTGAAAGAACAGGGATTTTG